ATATGGCAGCTGGGGGTTAGAGCAAAGTATGAAACATAAAACCGGCCAGAAAGGTCCAGCTTCTGGCCCTCATTCAGAATATTTGCTGCTTCATTATGACTTGCTAAATTCAAAAATGACAAATGATTGCCTAATAGTACGCTTTTTTTTACACAAATATTCAAAGATCTTGTGAAATGATTGTTTAATTGACCAAAGTTAAGTGTTAAACTATGAATAATATCAGAGTTTTATGCCTAAACTCCCAGAAAACTACCATATAACCAGCTTTCTGACCTTATAGCCATACAAATACACATAAAAAACAACCTCAAGTAACCTTCAGAGCTGCAATTACAATAAACTCCAAATTTTACTCATACATCTATTTTCTTTGGCTACTTTACAATCAGATACATGTCTTTTTTTATTTAATCAAAGCCTAGTCATCTTCTCAACAGTAAATTCATTGGAACTGACAAGAAAAATACCCGTTTTTCCCTGACACATTATCAGTGAATCATGCATGACAGACAAAAGGCGAACTGAGGCATGCCTCTGCACACGGTTGCATCTCAGATCTCAGATGCTGACGATTGTATGGGGCGGGAAGGGGGAATCGGGCTCAGCGCTGGAGAAGAGCGCCATCTACTGGAGGGATGATGGGACAGTCAGCCCTGTTTACGACTGTCAAACTGATGACACTGAGAATTTTTTAAGTTTCCCACGACACAAAAACAGGCCAGACTGAGGAAACCGCATGGGGCAGTTTGAAAGTTGTCACCCCTCTGTGAGTGTAGAAGAAGAAAATCCCTCAAAGAAAGCTCCAACTTATGATGGATGAAGGAGAAGTTCTCACAGGTAAATCCAAAAATAATGGGATAAAGAACGATTTTAAACCACAAACGCACAGAAAAATTAGTAATCGATAATCTCCAGATTTCTTTGTTATTGCATAAGTGAGCAAGAAACGTAAACAGAGACACAACGCAAGTGATGAACGTAAAGATAACATCACTTCAATGTTTTTCTGAACAAAGCAGAAAGGAAAGGCAGAAAGTTTTGTCTTCGTCAAGCGGAGAAGATGCTCTTTGTCTGCCAGGGGTCACGGAGACGCAGTGAAGGAAGCAGATATGGAGGAAGGAAGGATATAAAGAGAGGAAAGGAGGATGGGTAAATATTTTGGGGAAACACATTCCATGTTGGTTTACTGAAAACCCGAAGAGTCCAACAGGGATTACTGCAGTGAGTAACTCGGAAACAATGCAGCGACGTCTTCTTTGAAAACATCTTGAAGATTATTTGACAAAAATGGTTATTGAGAAACTACGATGTTGAATCTATAGTGAAAAACATGAATTCTTCTAACAGATGAGGATTTTGTTTTGTAGGAGTTTCCAAAACAAACTGAATTGAATGACGGTGACCGTAAAACAAAAATCGCTTGTGATGTTTGTTCTTTACATATTTCACAAAATGACATTAGTAGGAATGACAACAAAGTATAATAATAGCATATTTATTTGCATTCCATATAATCATAAACTATTTGTGTTGACTAAAATGGGGTGTTTATGCTTTTAAGATCAAATATTTACTGCTGCAAATACTCTTATTTACACACAAGGCAGCCATAATGAGTTTTGAGGTTGAGATTAACGGAGAACCTACAAATTTCAATTTTAAATTCTGACATCTAAGGACATTTTTCTTAATGTTTCCCTTTTAAAACTTAAAAAACTTTCATGTGGAAATAAAATTGAGAATTGCCCCGGTGGCTGGGGCGATGGGCCGGTCATTCATCCAGCAGCCCGTCGTGATTTTGAGTTTAAAAAATCTTTAAAGTTGACAGGAAGTGTGAAAATATCACTTGATAATTATGTATTCTTGAAAGATTGGAAGATTAACACCTGAGCACCAACTATAAAGTCTGAAAAAATGCAAACAACTTAAAAAGACTGAAATAAATAAGCAATGCTAAGCCTGGTGGGGGCACAAGCCTGGTGGCCCGCCAGGCTTATAATACACTGGAGGAAACCCTGCTGTTCACATTCAAAAATACTTTCTGGATCCAAAAGGACATTAAATAGAGATATTTATACATATTTATATAATGAAGGACTCCTGCAAAGTTAATACTGTGATGAACTGAACTCGCCAGTTGCCACAGACTTACTCCAGACAACAGATAACATTATAATCCTATGATGCCACAAGCATAATTTTTTATACAAAGTCTTCAACAAAGTTATTACTTTAATCAAAAACATACCATAGCTAATAAATATGATTGGACACATCTTAAATATTCTCTATAAAAATGTAAAATTCATGTAAAGTTATTTTCTTTCAGCATTTCGGTTATGACAACTGTATGTTTAAAAACTTAATTTATCAATTTTTTTCATATTACTAGTTAAAATCCCACACTTAATTGAACTGTTAAATCTCTCTATGTAACTGAAATGATCAGGAAGCAGATGGGTTCAATAATTCAATACATCCTTCAGTAGGTCTTATACTTATATAAACTCACATGCAGCTCTGGAGGAAAACTAAGAAACCACTTAAAATGACCAGTTGTTCTTTTATTCTATGAAATTCCAAACAAAGAGCTTGTATTTATTTGCAGAAAATGAGAAAAAGTCAACATAATGAAAAAGATGCGGCGCTTCAGAGCTCAAATAATGCAAAGAAAACAAGTTTATATTCATTTAGAAACAACAATACTGATGTTTTGACTCAGAAATCAACATTTGGTGAAATAGCCAGGAGGTTTTAAACGGGGTTAGTTTTTTCCACATATACAATGTGACTGTTGGTCATTGAGGTAACTTTAAATTGACGCCTCGTGATGAACAACAACCGAACTATTGTCGCTCCAACCTCACAACACGTGAAGCCTGGCAACTCTGAACAACAAGCCGTATTTTTATTTCCAACCATTTGCACTGAACAACGCGGTGCCAGGGGGGAAGCGGAGCTTCCTCTCTGAGCGCATCATCACCATCATCTCTGCTCTTCAAAGGAAAGTTTCACGGTTTTTCACTCACCGAGTTTCTCCCTCCACAGGAGCCGTTTGCGCTGAAGGTCACCGTCACGTTACGCTGCTGCACTTATCGCCGCGGCCCATTTTATTGCCGCAGTTAAAACCTGGTAACTTTAGACTTCAAACTCTGCAACTTGCCACCCGGGCTGCGTGCCCGGCGGCGTCACTGTGACGTCGGCCGGAGGGTCACATGACAGGAAGCGGCGGCACGTAAACAATTTTACTACGCCGAGCACGAGGTCTCTCTGTCTCTCTGTCTGTCCATTGTTTACGCGTCAGATCCAACATTTATGCCAGTCCTCAGCATGCTTTTCATTAAATCCACATTTATATCTTAGTTTTTTGTTTTATTTCAGCAAATTTCGACAAAACGCATTTAAATCTGGACTAAAACTAACCTTTTAGTTGCTTTTGAACCATAATAAATGGACTATTCACCATTTTAGCGATGAAACTTCATAAAATGTTGTTTGATTACATGATGTTTGGTTTGTATGTTTTCATGCTATAAATTAATCCAATAAACTTGATTAGTCTGACGTCATCCTAAATGTCATTTTCATCAGCTGATCATAATTAACAGAAAAAAATACCTAAATATTTGCATGTTTGGAAGAAATCTATATGAATAATTTTCAATAATATAATTTATTTACCACGCATGTAAAAATGTAACTGTGGATATTTTAAGTATTTATTTTATTCTAATGATTATGGTTTATGTTTAATAAAACACTTAATTTTTTATAAAACCCATATGAAGGGATTTTCAATACAGGCATATAGACACTTAAACACTCAACTTTTTACTTCTTTAAAAAGAAAACACTATAAACAGATGCAAGAAAGAAAAAATGCTTATTTTTAGATGCTTATGTTGGTAGCAAACTCAAATTCCTTGTTTGTAAGAATAAATTTGGCAAACCAGCAGATTATAACTCTGAAATGCAGTGTTTTAATCTAAATGGATTCTTGTTTCTTTGCATAGTTATAATGAAAACGATTTGCAAAATGTTTTTGTTAAATGTATTGTAATTGTGCAGTTTTACTTTATTTCGTCAGGATGACTGCAGTTGAAAATAGCTTTGTGTTTAATCGCTGGCATATTGATAGAAATTATTAATCTGCACTGTCTCTGTGATAAATAAAAACCTTTTACTCAGAGCTGGTCTCATATAAAAATAAATCCAAAAGAAAATGTCTGGCTTTATGTTACAGAGAAGTGCTTTAATCCTTATAATCTACTATCTGCTCCATAGTCAGATCTGCAGATTTTTTTTCATTTCTTTTAGTCGTCACATTAACTATATTTACTATTGAACCAATGAATATCCACACAATCAGCTGATCAGTCTTCAATCTTCTCAGTGACAAACAGCCTTATAAGGTGAACCAGTGTGACCAGAGCTACCAGTAACTTCACTTTCTCTTACCTTTTTGGGTAATCCTGCAGTCAGCAAGCTTTATCTCTGGTTGCTGAGTTATCGATGCAGGGAAACTTGATATGTTACCGTGTGGGTGGGGGTTGTGTCAGGGTAAAACAAAAGCCTGGCTCCTCTGGTATGTTTACATACCTACTAACATCAAATGTACAAAGACGATGCAGGGATCATTCATTTATTGAACAGCTGCAATTTATTAAAACCCCTGACTCACATCAAGTCATTAAGACAGCAGCGTCATACTACAGTATCCCAGTAATAAAATAATGTTAACAGACATTAAATGGGATTCATTTAAAGGTGTAAAATAAAAACAGAACCCATCTTTAAGATTTGAGGTAATAAAAAGCGTTTACAAGTTTTCCATTAAATATTCTTGGTCATTTGGAAAGAACTGTAGATATAAACTATACTTTTTATTGCATATAATATAATATTACCTATCAAAACGCTCACGCATCATATCGTAGATTAACAATTAGATTTTTTTTGATTGCCTGGAAGAAAAGGTCTTGATTTGTACCAGTCAGAAAAACTGAAAACATCTTTATTCTTTCAGATATGACAACTAGAATAGCAACATTTTTACCTTTAAATTCTCAAAAGACACGTTACAGAAATCACCATTTATATTGCAAAATTATTTATATTTCTGGAACATTTCACTTACTGCTACATTACAACCACAAACTTCAATGTTTTTATTGGGATTTTATGTGATGGACAAAAAGTAGCACAGAGCAGAAGAAGAAATGGAAAAAATAAAAATTAATTTTCTTGCAAAGTAAAATGTGGAAAGTCTGGCATTCATTTGAATTCTGCTACTTTTACTCTAATAACTGTAGAAATCCATAGTGAACAAGTAATCTAATTAGTAAATATTATAGATTATAAATAATTAGTGACATTTGGTGGTGGCTGCATCATGATGCGGGAATGTTTGCCTTCAACACACACAGGGAAACTGAGCAGAGTTGATATGACCAAAGAAGGATGGAGATAAATGGAAATCCTAGGAGAAAACCCATCAATAAAATATTTTTAAGCATTTAGATTACATTATTCTACGTGTTCCTGTAGAACAGAAGATTTTAAGGATTCATTTCACCATTTTTATTTTTTAGGTTAACTCTTTTCTCAAAGGAAAGAAAAGCAGAGTGAGGTAAGAGTTATTTGATTAGAGTCTGAATCTATTGAATCACCAGCAGTGAAGTAACCAAGTCAAAGTTGATCAAACAAAAGTCCAATTTACGATTATATATTTAAACTTAAAGTCCCTTCTGACTGTTGTTGACATGTTAGGTGTTGATTTACAGCCCAGATGATGATGATGAGTTGTTGTCCAGTGAAGAAGAGCCTTCTGTCATTTTGTGTACTGAGCGAAGGGAGAGGTTTCGTTCACTTTACCCTGGAGAAAAGACAAAAGAAGTTCAAACAATCCGCCTTTACCATTAGAGCTTCCTGCTGCAGCCTGTTTTGATATCATGGATCTTTTGGACAACTTGCTCTGACGAATCATTAGTAGAGCAGGTGTTTAAATTAGGTAACCAATCACCGCTGTTAGCTTAGCTAATAGCAGTATAGCTAAACTTGTGGGATCTTCCTCTTCCTTTCTTCCTCTGATGTTTTTAAGAGTATAAATAATTTCCATTATGACATTTGGTAATAAGACATAAATGAAAATTGTCTTTTTTTCTAGTATGCCTTTTATTTAATTTCCCTTTAATCAAGTATATTTGAATTTAATTGAACTGAATTTGCATTATATTCTTTTGAGAGCTCTGCCTCATTTATCAGAACAAACTTATTGGTTAAACACAGATTAAAATTCTTTTTAATCTATATACATATAGATTAAAAACATAAACAAATATAACTTATCACACGTTTTAACATGTTAGTCCTTTTTCCTCCTTCTGTTGTCATTTATTAACTTTCCACGCATAATTTGCAGAATCAGCTTTTTCCACTGCCGCTACTGTTGGTTATGTATTTTGTGTTGTTCTCCCTGTAAATGCACTCGGTTCTAGTCCAGCTCAACGACCTGACAAGGTTTTACTGCAGCTACAGTCATGGAACAATAAAGACTTACAAAACAGACTCTTTAAAAGACAAGCTGGCAAAATCCAACACTGCATATTTTCCATTTTAGCTCGATTGAATAAAGGTGTTATCTTAGGGTGTGACATGCAGCGGTATTTCACTGGGGCCGAAGTAATAAGTCTAATTTCTCCATCATGCAGAGAGAAACCCCCTGCTTGATCCTGCATCTGAAATAATAATTGAAGACTCCAGGATGCTGACAGAGTCTGAATACCTGCTGACAAACTGATGGGAGGTTGATAAGTTCTGTTTTGAAAAGAACAAAGCTCTGTCATCAAAGGTTCACCACACTTAATGTCCTTTGAGATATTTTCACACACGTAGACAGTTGCCCTTAGGCTTCCTGTTTGCGGAAAGAAAGAGTAGCAAACCAGTGAGCTCACTGCTGCGGGGAAGAAACAGAAAAAGAAACACGACCGCTGAAGTTTAAAATGCTTTCGGCAAACGATACGTCAGAAACTATCTTTTTTTCCTTTCTTGTCAGTCAGTTTTGTAAAACTGAAATGTTTTGTTGTCTTTACTTTTAACAATTTGGTCATTACTAGCTAACACTGCAAAAAAAAAAAAAAAATCTTACCAAATATTTTTGGTTGGTTTCAAATGCAAATATCTTAATACACTTAAGACAAAAATAATGCACAAGTTACTTTTCAGCAAGATACGGGAGATTGTTTCAAGTCAGTAATTCTTGAATAATTATTTTAAAAAAGCGTTTTTTCCACAGAGAGATTTTTTACACTTACATCATGAGAAAGAATATCTTGTTTTGAAATAATTTGTAAGTGGAAGTAATTATTTTTTAATCAATATTGAATAACTATTTACTGAAAACAAGCCTCTAAAGGAAGCTAGTTTTGTTTTATGTTTAGTGTAATAATTTGCACTAGAAACTAGACCAAAAATACTTGGTAAGATTTTGTGTTTTTGCAGTTTGAACACTGTAAAAACATGTATAGTGCAACCAATTTTACTTATTTGTATAATTACACGTGTGAACACGGCAAAAAAAAATCATATATCAAAATATGTCTAGTTTTAACTAGAATATCTTAGTACACTTGTAATAAGACAAGTAACTTTTCAGCATGGTATTGTAATTTAAGTAAATATCTACTTAATATTAATTTTAGAAAGTGTTATTTCTACTGGCAGGTTGTTGTACTTATAAGACAACATGTTTCCCATGTTATAAGTAAAATAATCTGCCAGCAGACCTGGTCCGTTTTCATTAATATTATGGAATTATTAACTAAAAACAAAGCTCTATATCTAGCAGAAAAGTTACTTTAAAATTTGTTTTGTCTTATTTAATACGTACTAAAAAATTTGCACAAAACTGTAGATCAAAAATACTTGGTAAAAGTTTGTGTTTTTGTAGTGCAAAGCTGTATATTCTGCTTTACTGGAAAACATAAGTTAAAATCAATTTTAAAGCTTTAATCAAAACAGTTTTGTGCTCACCATTGGAACGTCTTCGAGCCTCTCAAAGTTGGACCTCGACGATCTGACGCATTTCACCGTTATAACCACCAGTAAGAGGCCAAAGACGATTGTAAAGATGCAGATGACGGCCACCAGGCCAGGACTTTCCACCAACTTGTAATTTTCCTTGTTGCCTGAAAGATCTGAGGTCAATCACACAAAGAAAAACTGTAATTAATAGGTTATTAAGAGTGGGCAAAACATAAATTTGGGATTTCTGAATATTTCAGAATCTGTACCAAAATGTCACTAAGTTGGGGTGAAAAGGAGGGTGGGGGAAAATTGTCTGCTTTGCCCAGCATAGTGTTGCCAACTCTTCAGAAAGGAAATGTGCCACTGGTTGGCCATAGACTTCCATATCTGACTAATGTCATGTCCTACACTGGATGGCTGGCCATGAGGAAGTTACTGTGATAGATGTTGTAGGAGAAAACAATATAAACATTTTTAGTTTCCCACAAAGGTTCTTGAGCTCTTGGGATCCTGATCCTAGTTTTTTAAACTACTTCCTGTAACTGTTGTAGGACATGTTTGACTCTCTGACCAGTCATGGCTTGGACACAGAATGTCTCTGGATGTCCTGAGCTATTTGTTTCTGGGATATTAGCAGTAGATCTGGTGGCTTTATGCTCTGCAGCTGCTTTCAGCTCATCTACTTGTAGCTTTGGAGGTCAAATAGGTAAAGACATTTAGATCTATTGTATGTCTTTTGTGGGTAGATTGCAAAACTCTGTAGTCGGTTGGAAACCAACATCTGCTCAGTAATTGCAACATTTCCTGTTGGGTTTCTGTACTATTTTCAATGCCATTTGCTTTGGTTAAAAGTTATTTTATAGCTGATTTAAAATATAGTTGACCTATTATGCTTTGTTGAACAGGTTAGAATAAGTTTGTGGGTTAAACAAAACATGTTCATTGCCTTTTTTACAGGAAATAATCCTTAGATAACGAGATTTTAGTGTGGTCAGTTCTACGCATTTGAGCTCTTTCCACATTGAGCTGTTTTAAGGCGTCTTGTCACTTTAAATCCAAATGTGTTGCTTCTGGCCACGCCGCCCAAATCAGCTTTTACACTCGCACGTGAAAATGACTGCAAACAGATGCGCAATTATACATCTTTGAAAAGCGTAAGTGGAGCCTCCTGCACAACCAACAAGAATATAAAAAGTGATTTCTAAAAGGTGAGTCAACAACAAAACACTTGTCATTTCCAGCAGCCATTGTACAGCGCATACAGCAGTAAAACTGGCTGATCAAACATGCTGAGTTCTACTTAGGTTGTTAGGGAACGGGCTGGGCTTCACTGGGGTTCCTAGGTGAGGTGGAGTGCTTGCTAATTTGTGATGTTACATTCAGAAAGTTTTTGAAAAGGGTCATTTTAAAGACTCCAAAAAAACATTAACTAATTGCTAAAAACTGGCTGTGTGTTTGTTTTTTTTAAAAAACCTTTGGCCTGTTTTTAGAAGCAGTAGAAACCCAAATGGAAGTTCAAAAATGTGTAAAACATGACTTTTGTATAATATCTCCTCTTTAAAACACTGTAATTCAGAATAAATCTGAGTCCACACAGTAATCTGACCTGAAGTGGTTTTGTTCCCCGATGTACCAGCTGTGACATTCAGAGACTCTGACGTTAGCGGGACCGTCTGGTTCTGAGTGACGGTCTGATCAGACGTTTGGCCGATCGTTGTGTTCAGGGGAGCGCTGCTCGGGCCGGTCTTCTCTGCTGTGGCAGTCTGTGGTGAAGCTGAAGTAAGATTGGGGGTCGTCTGTGTCGTCGTTTGGAGCTGGGGTGTGACGGTTGATGTTTTCACTGTGGGTGATGATGCTAAGCTCTGGGTTGCACTGGAGGCACTCGTAGCCGTCACAGTAGAGGAAACTGAGCTCCCTGCAAAAGGTAAACAAAAGAAAACAATGTGATTACGTACTTATTGATCAGGTTGAGCTTCGTAAACAATCATTGGAATTTTAGGGCTGAGAGCATAAATGACATTTCAATTATTAAAAGATATATTTCCTGTTCACTTTAAAATGACTGCAGGTTCATCCAGAGCATCTAAGCTGCTACCTTGTTTATGCAAGATGATTATTTCCAATGCCAAGGTGTATGCCCCTCCTGTATTTTTAAAGTAAACATCCTACGATTTTGGCTAGCTAAATTAATTTGCCTCTCAACTTGCTCTAAATAAACTCACTCTGATAAAATCAGTAACAGATGTAATGAAACAGGCAAATTCAGTCTTATTTTAGGCAAAATCAAGATCATGAATGCCCTCAAAGAGCCTGTTGGAATATATTGATAAGACCCAAAAATAAACCATTAAAATATTAATCAATAACCATCTCTGCCTTTGACAATACTTCTTAAAAGTAAATATTCTTTTCACACTCATGTAATCTGGCCACATAGAGATAAAAATGCCTTTAATTTGATTGATAAAATAGTATTGAAGCACAAAAAAGTGTTTTCTTGAAGATTCTCTGGAGTATAAAGGGCCACATAAAAAGCTATGGCGGGCCGAGTTTGGCCCCCGGGCCTCAAGTTTGACACATATTCGAAAACTTCAGATCAGTTTCTGTGTCGACTTATTTGATGAAAGTTGAAAACATTTAAATACCTTAATAAAGTAAAAGTCACTCATTTCAGAAAGTAAAAGTGACGCTACATGGATTCATTTGACAAAGCAAAATATTTCAAGCACCTTTTTATCTTGTAATTTCAATTATTTCAATTTTTAAAAACCAATTAAAAACTCAAAATTTAGTGTGTCACAAAATGATGAAATCTAATCTTTTGCTCAGTTGATTCGCGATAAGGAAAATGTCTGGAGCTTCTGGGTTAGCTGCTTTGACTGTTTTTGATGAAAATGCAAATTTCACAAAATGTCAACAAGTGGTAAAGATAAAAAAAACAAAAAACATTTATAAACCATATAAAAAACTCTCATTGACTTTCCAATTCAGTGGCTTCTCTACTAACTTCATTTACTGAGTTGTGTCTTATTGAGGAGCAGCAGGCTCTACATTACAGACAGCATTAACTAAATATGACTGTCGCCAACCACATCTTTACTTTTGCCCACACACTAGAAATATAAATATGAGCCATCATTTACAGTTTAAAATGGGTAAACTTTGATAAATGTTGGTTAAACATCTGAAAACGTCGCCTTCCTGTCAGCAGGGAAACACCGTGCACCACACAACCACCTCCACTGAGCTTTCAAAGCTTCCCTCTTCCTGTTTGCATAAATTTGCATCTTGAACGGGACTTAAGAATAAAACTCAGGCCTCAGCACATTAAACTTGTGAATTTAGCAGCCAGAGAGGTTTACTCACCGCGGCAGGCTGTCGCTGTGAGCAGGCAGAGCAGGACAGTGAGGTGCATCGCTGCCGGCATGTTGAGAGAGGAAGCGTCTGGCGCTCCGTCATATCAGTGACATTCAAACACAAACCCGCAGGCTCGCATCCTGGACAGCAGGATGTGTTCAACAGGAGCAGCGAACGTGAGCTGACGCATATCAGATGCTGCAAATATTTGAACACAGTGGAGTTTGTTTGCATTGCTGCCGGCAGCTTTCCACTGATTAAAGGCACTTTCTCTATGTTGCTGGGTTTTTTATTCCACTTTCTTTTCTTGTTTCAGGTTAAACTTCTGATCGCACATCACCTGTTAATTTCCTGATCTGCTGACCTTTATTTCTAATCAGTTTGGGAATCGATTAATAGATAATAAACAAATGAAATGTATTTATCTTTTTTATTTTTAACTCTGCTGTATGAAGTGTTACGGTCATTGTAGAAGGAGGGAGACATTTCTACCATTGTAGATAAAAAAAAAAGATTAAATTTATACTAAATTCAGAAATTATAAGGTTAATCCCAGAAATGTTCTTAATTATTTTTTTTTTAATTTCCAAGTTTGAAAAGTCAAGAAACTGCTAGAAAAATTCATATTTTGAGATTAATTTGAGACATTTTCCAGAGAAAACATGAACATTTCTGAGTCAAAATTATGAGTTTTGGAAAGTTTCTGAGTTTAAAAATCTAAATTTTTTGCCTTTTCAAACTCAGGAATTAGATTATAAATTTATACTTTCATGCTCAGATACTCCAGTCATATAAACATGCCAATGGGAGCAAAACACAATGATTAGGAATAAAATCAATTTAGGGAATAATGTTTTTAATTATTCATGTTTAATTCTGCTTTAATGTCATGTAATAAATATATTCTCCATCTTCATACTACACTGATTATAATTCATTTTCAAGACAAAACATATCAACAAAAATTTTAAATTAAAAAAAAAAATCTATAATTTCTTTACAGACTTTGACAAATTCTCTACATCATTTAGAAGACTGCAATAGTATGAATAAGAAAAACTACAAATATTTAATTGATCAAATTCACCCCAAAAACCCAAATTGATAAATTAATTGGTGGAAACATTTTGTTTCACACATTAAATATTCAGTTTAACAGGATTCAAGTTTATATTTACAATCTACAGTTGTGTGTAATATTGGATTTAACTAAAATCATCTTCATCTCAAGCATCATTCAGAAGGAACCATAAAGGATAAACAGTCAGCAGAGATTATTTGGCACAAAAATCTTGAGAACTGGAGTGCAAGTTAAGGCAACAGTTCTCATGGTGAAACTGGGTTAAAAACAGTTTGGAGTTGAATACAGAAACATTATAAACAACATTGAATAGAGAGGTACCGCGTCAGCATTTAGCTTTAGTCGAGACAAAACGCTTCAACAATCACAACGTCCGGAAACAGGAATATCAGCGGTGAGGGCAGTGAAGCTGCTGTCATCCCTGAATGCAAAAAAAAAACAGAAAGCAAATTTAAAAATATGCAGCTCCTCATAGATAAATGCCTTCTGATAACGGAGGAGGAGTTAGGGTCTGAAAATATAATTAAAATGTTCTCTTGCATTTAATTCACACAGATAATGAAAAGCTCTAAGCTTTTTCCTCCAGCGGTTTAGAAGTTGTCGGATCTTCCTGCTGTGGATCCACAGAGCTGCTGTCCGGTGTCAGACCTGCTGGGTCTCATCCTGCCAACAAAACAAAAACAACAAACACAAAAAATAAATAAAAGTGACTGACGACTGAACACCGTAGACAAAAAAACACTGAACTATTGCGTCATGAAAGCTACTTCTCTATTTCTGTTTTGGGGCAAACAGATATTAATAACCAGCTATTTTTTTCTCTAATAATCCTTATTATATTATTATATTAATCCTTATTATATTATATTATATATATATATATATATATATATATATATATATATATATATATATATATATATAGTGAGGTTATATATATATATATATATATATATATATATATATATATATATATATATATATATATATATATATATATATATATATATATATATATCAGGATTGTTAGCAAAGGAGATAATTCATTTTATTTCCAATTCAATGAAAATTTGATATTTTTCTCTGCATTTAACCGCTATAATAAAGCTCTCATTTTTTGAATTTAAATTAAAATATTCTAATCTGATGAGGAAAAGATTTCAGAAAAATTTTAAACTGTAAAAAAAAATTGAAAACAAAAGAGTCACTCACTCTGTGTTTGAGATATGAGAGGTAGGTGTCCCATCCTAATGTGATAAAATTAATGTACACGACACGAAACTTGGGTGACAGAAAGTAAAAGTTGATGGCCTGCGCAGCGGGCCAAACACACCAGTCCATCTGTCGGAAAAAAAACAGACCAAAACCAACAGATTAACAGAGCAAACATCATTAACGAGAAAGCAAGGCACAATAAAAACAATGCAGCTCTGGGTGTTTTCCATCTATCATTAGATGAACAACCAGGACTTCTTTACATCGACCCAAAAAATGCTTCCAATAACCAGATGGTGTTAAGCTAAATATTAGCCTCTTTCAAGAATTACTTCTTTATTGTATGTGTTCATAAACCTGAAAATATACAGCACCTTTTTTTGTAGTTTGCATAAACTTTAAAAAAAGTTATTAATAGAAGCTGCACAGCAGCAACAGAGTAATTAAATGTTAATTTAAGTTTTTAAAAGACGGGGACTGCTGCAGTCGTTACAGAGGGACAGCGGCTGCAAAGATAAATGTGAAAAACTTAAAGTGGGAATTTAAATGTCAGCATGTTCAGTAACTGGAACATTTTTACACTAACAAGGTTTCCACTTCCATTTTCTTTTGTTCCGAGGAGAAGGAGCTACATATTTAACCCTAACGCATTACATTTTATTGATTACAACCACAACTTTTAATGTACATAACATTTTAGACCAGAACATTACTATGAAGGTGGTCAACGTTTTACTTCTTATATAAATATATTTTAAGAGTGACAGATATCTGCTTTTGACTGCCCTGAATCAACATTTTGCAGAAACATTTTTGTTTCCAATTACAGCTGCAACTCTTGGTCAGATTTAGTTCCAAACTTTGACTAGACTCTCCTGACACTTGAATAATATGGTTTCACTTCAACAGTTACAATTTTATTTTGCTGTTGCTCCATGTTTGGGGCATTTTAAAGTCATTTAACCAGAACAACTTCTTGGTTCTTCTTTGTAGCATGTTGCACTGGATTCTGTATCAGAATGAAGGGAGCCAAATATAAACACACACCACACTTTTCAGATATTTAAAAAAAATTATGCATCAACTACCAAAATTTGTATAATTCTCCATCTAACACATAAAATCCCAATAAAATGTTGAACAACGTGACGAAATGAGAGAAAGTTCAGGGGTGTGAATACTTTTCCAAGGTCTTCTAAATCCACATTTTAGTTTTTTATGGTATCAAAGCAGATGATCGTTGGCAAAGATCAAACTGATAACGCTCAACAGATAAATGCAGTTTTGTTGTCCTGACATCAATTATGTGACTAAGCAAAGATTTCCCAGATATAAGGAGTTGCCAAGGCAATCCTCTGGGAAACGTAAAGTTGTTCCAGAGAGAAAGGTTAACTAGAGGTCGACCACAGCTGATTAATATTATTTCCTTTCTGAAACTTGTTTCCAGCGTGGAAAACTACTCAGAATTACAGATCGAGGAAACGTTGTTGTTTACCACCTGCAGATTTCCAGAATGTTGCTTCAAACGTTTGTTTTTATTCATTTATTCTGTTTTGAACTCCAAACAATTCAGGATGTGATGAGAAACTATTGGCTCAAAGTGACTTCACAAAAATATGTCATTTTCATCAGACATAGAAGAGAAATTAGCTTTAAACTATTGAAAACATTTTCCATCATTCCTATTTTTAAACTTGTGCTCTTCTGATCAAGAGCAAAGAGAACAAAAATGTTATATATTTTACATAAAGTAAAATTCACAGAGTGAACTTATTTTGTCAGTTAAAAGTTTGTGATGTGTCAGTAATCTCTGCTCTGTGATCTCGGTCACTGCCGCTCTCACAAAACCAAAAAGGAAATGTTTGTCATTATGGATACAAGATGACATGATTGTTTAGAGGTTTTCATGTGTGTTTCACACGACGGACCAAGGTTATTACAGTTAACTAAAGCCAACAAAACTGTTTTCTCAGTTTTGTTAGCTGAAATAAATAAAAGTGATAAAGGTGAAAACTTATTACTACATGGACAGTATTGTGTGTTTATAAAACTAACAAACATACTTAAATTATAGAAACAAAATCCTTTGTTTTTGTGTTTATGAATCCATTTGAATTGCCTTTTTTTGTTTCTTTCCACCCACACAAGCAATTTCCATCAGTTTTTGGCAAAAACACTAGAAACAGCTGGTTGTTCAACAGTAATTGAATCCATTTTTCAAAAAAACATTTTAGAAAAATGCTTTTTTATAACATTTATATATACATATATAAAAAAAAGATTTGTCAAACATTTTTACTCAATACTCTTTTGAGTAGTCATTATCCAATCAAAGTATTAAAAAGCTGAAACTACTATAACCACTAAAAACTAAAACTAAACCAGCACACATACTCTAATTAAAACTAACTGAATTAGACAAACAAAGTCACAACAAAATAAAGATAAACTAAAACAAAAGCCCTGAAATTATTATAACCCTGCAACAGACATTTAAAAGCTTCATGCTACCTACAGTTCTGCATTTCCATTTTAATAGAAAAGACTAATATTCTATTTTTCATTTGTATTAGAGGATTCATTTTGTCCTTGAATCTGAAAATAGAAACACATTTTTGCTTTAAGTGTTAGCCTTCATAATAAAACATTTTACTCTGTGTTTCTCTCTTTCTCTTGGTGAGTTTTATTTTGTAGCAGAGGGGTTAAAGTGCATGTCTCTTCGAATGGAAAAGGTTGCTGTCTCTGTCAGAGACACTTCCAGGTGAACTTGCCTTATAAAACTCCCAGAACTTTTCTCTGAACTCCGCCAATCCGTCCCATAAAGAGCGTCCCTGCAGCAGATCCATACCTGTGCAAAACCAGACATGCGTCAGCCACAGTCGTCATTAAAATCAGATAAGGACCAAAACACAAGCAATGAACTTTAATAAACACGACTGAAAACGTCAGTAAGATCCGTAAACAATTTATCATAAATGTCCTTTGAACTCCATTTAACTCATCTTACTCACAACTTTACATACAACCTTTGACTCAGAGCAGGATTTCTTCAAATCATGCGTCATTATGAAAACGTTTCTCTGCTCACACCCAATCTAGTCTTAAGGTGTGTGTGTGTGTGTGTGTGTGTGTGTGTGTGTGTGTGTGTGTGTGTGTGTGTGTGTGTGTGTGTGTGTGTGTGTGTGTGTGTGTGTGTGTGTGTGTGTGTGTGTGTATGCACAGCGGGTGGAGAAAACATCCCGCTCACTGCCTGTAAACACCCCTCCTAGTCCTACCTATGAAATACCACATTCCCAGCGTCGGGGAGGCGATCAGCTGGTCCACCAGAACCTTCTTGCTCAGCGTCTTCAGAGCTTTGCCCACATAAACTCTGTCCAGCCAGATGTACCAGTAGTGCAGCACTGGGCCCATGGAGCAACCAACCACAAACATTCTGCCTTCAGGGGGATAAAGTGATGGAAAATACGAGCAGAAGAATAGCTATGAGTCACTGAACAGGTTTAAACATGAAACAGTTTATTCTCTTACATTTGAGCTAAACTATGTGCAAAAAAGGAGGATTATTTTTAAGGGCGTGTAGCATTTCAGCTCTGACGTTATGAAAATATTAAATGATTTCACTCTTATTATTAACTTGAGCATCAATGGCCATAAACTGCTTCTATAATATCTTTTGTTTAGTTATCAGGAGCAGAATTTTTGAACAACCTCTTTCTTTAAAGAAGCATTGTGGAGAAAACACTGACATCTAGTGGCAAGGTTGAAAACTTGAATTTTCTTTTTTTTAATATTTTTCTGGGCAACTTTAAAGCTGTAAAACTTTAACAAATGTTGGGTCCTGAGAAATGGAGAAAAGTAGACAGGTAGCAAATAATCAACCAGACAGTTACGTTTTCTCTTGATCACTCGCTCAAATGTTGAAAAATATTATTATTATTATTTTTTTTTTTACTATTAGGGATGCAGCTGACAATTATTTTAATAATCAATTATTGTATCAATTATTTGGGGAAAAAATGGCACCCTATGCAAAATTATAATTTAACCACTTAAGTTTATTTTGTACAATATTGAAAAATGTAAAAATACAAGCAGATTAGTTTTTCTAAATAAAAAAACAAACATTTCATTGCCTAAAATACAATAACACAGCATTCCTTTAGCATAAGCCTGGTCATTTGTAGCAAAGGATCCAAAGTTTAAAAAAAAGTTTAAAAAAATACTTAAACAAGTAATTTTTCTTTCAAAACATGTTGACTATTTTTTCAATTAACCAATTAATAACTGGATACCAAAAGGTGCTTAATTGGAGAACTATATAGCATTTGAACCAGCTGATTCAATGCTACCGAGTCCACTCTCACAACAATTTATTAAAAGTTTAAAACATTAGCTCGAAAGCTTAATGTTGGCAACAGTTTATTTAACCAAAACAGATTTGAGGTTAATAACTATTTAAATGAGTCAAAGGTAACCTTAACACTGCCATGGCTTAGATTATTGATGCCGTCTCTCTGCCCGACCCTCACCTGTCCTCCTCCAGTCCCGGACTCGGCCCGGCTCCCTGCGGTTTTCCCGAGTCTGCTGCAGGACGTCTCCCAGCGACAGCATGAGCCCTCCGCTCAGCGTGTTGGTGAGCAGCAGGTACCGGCCCTGGAACAGAGGCCTCCAGGAGAACCGAATCCGGACCAGAAACTCTTTACCCGCCCGGGGAAGCATGACGACCAGAACGCAGAGACAACGCTATCATCTGTCAAAGAAAAGAAGGGAATAATGTTTACTTTGTCTTTGGTTTCAGACAACCTGAGAGCAATCTGACAGTCAGGAGAAATAACAGATTACAGCTGAACATCTAATCCTAACTCAGGGGTATCCAAAGAGTGGATCAGGGGCCATTTCTGGCCCTTGAAATTATTTACTTTGGCCCCTGAACACAAATCAAGGATGGTAAAAATTTGGCTGACAAAATTAGGCAACAGTCTGAAGCACTTTTTGGTGTTTTGGCTCTTTAACAGATTTCATACAAATGTAGTTTATTGTTGATCTGGTAGAACTAAATTAAATAGTAATAAAAAAGTCACAATAAACTATTTTTGGTCTTTAATGTAATGTAAACTCCTGGACCACCATTAGTTTAAATCAGTTTTGGCCCCCAGTGTAAAAAGTTTGGATATCCTAAACATTTCTGGGAGGTTATGAACTGGAAACCAGTGGGAAAAATTAACTCCCATAGTAACTTTTATGAATATAAAACAGATTAGGCTGGAGAGGAACCGTCAATATAAATTAGGTTGTACATGTTTCCCAAAACATTTATAACCTTCATGCTTTCAAAAACATATGAGCCAGAATATTTAGAACCATGTTTGTGATTTGTGAACGTTTTTCCTGATTTGTGAAACCTAAAGGGCGGTTTTGGACCCTTTCTTTGCATCTGGATCACACCAGAACTTCTCTAATTACAAAACTACAAGACCAAGACACTTCAAACCCGAACCAGATTATTTAAAACCATTTTTTGGATTCGTGAAACTGTTTTCTGACTTGTGAAACTTCACTTAACAGACTGCTGCAGAACATCTTTCCTTCCAGCAGCCATCACCATCTATAATAACTCTTTGAAGAATTAATGAGTTACACCAACATTTAATTTTAGTGAAGTTTCACAGTCAGATAAAGGTTTCATAAATCCCAAACACGGATTAAAATAATCTGCTATTCGAGCAGAATAATCTAATCCAGATTTAAAGTGTCTAGATGTTGAAGTTTTTAAACTAGAGTCGATTAAAGATGCGGAAGGTAGTCAAAAATTATCCCTTTCCAGAATCAGAACCTGGAATCGTAAACCAACTTCAGATTCATCAGTTAAATATCCATTTAGTTAATAGTCGAATGCTTCGTGGGTCAAAGTTCACGCAGACAGATTCAGCTGCTGCTTGTCTAGTAAAACATTAGCTTCAGCCTTTCTGCGGGGTTTCAAGGTGGAATTAATAACACATTTGTTCCAAACGCGGTTAGAATCGGCATTATTATGAAGTATTAAACAAACATATTGGCCCATTTGGGACAATTTAATGAGAAACATAAGTGGCAGCTGCTGAATGTCACATGTAGCCAAAGGAACAGGAGCAAACCTGAGCCGGTGTTCTGTCGCTTTTCGTTCCCCCACAGATTTATATTTCCGCTCACTCCACTTAAACTAACTCCACTCTAACTAACCGGAAATAATCACAATTATCCTTAATCCATCAGAATAAATCAAAGGAACAAAAAGCTCATACCAAAAGTACAGGTTACTACATAAATTTAAAGCGTTCTGGCCGGAACAAATGAACGCATGCGCAGGAAAGAGATTTACACGAGTGAAGAAAAAGTTAAAGCGCCACCTTCTGATTAGGAGTGGAATCAACTGTCACAAATTTATCATTACACTGTAACCAGAAAAGGTTTTAGCTATTTATTAAAATTTATTAGAAGCATACAAAAAATATGTATGTCTTTACATATTAAGGACACGTGTGAAGTGTTTCTTCAGAGTATAATTGTTTCAATAGTTAAGAAGTAACATATTTTTACACATTTGTACAGAGTGATGTTTTATTTTACAGTACAGCATCACACAGAATCATGTAAACTCCACTTCTGCATTTATTTATTCATTTGTTTATTTTGTTAACAAGCAGATGGGAAGCAGCTTGGGAAGCCGAGACGCAGAGGGAAGCTTTGGATCTGGGATCACAGACATAACTGCAACTTAGAGCAGAATAAAAATACAAAACAAATACTAGGTTATTTGGTTTGAATGAACTGCAGTTAATTTCTTGAATTTAAGGAATGAACTGCATATGAATAGCAAAGACTGAGGAATCCTTAAATAAAGAGAAATGCAAGCCCAAACTCCCAAAGTTCATAAGATGATCTAAAGAGTTGTGAACTCTCTTTCCCCAAAACGTGCGCTATTAATCTGAATGTTGCTGGATTCCTTTAATCATTTATTTTGAATAGATATACCTGAGCAGCAGTTCTTCTGAGTGTCTTACCTCTGATCTGACCACAAGTAACTTCAACCTACCACAGCGCCGCCTGCAGACCGCTGCTGAAAAATGCAACTAAAGATCTTTAATTTGTTAATGATTTTCCCATATTTTTAATGACTCTAAAACAGAAACATTATTGTATTTTTAAAATGACAAATTTTTATAAAATTATAAAAATAGAAACAAAATAATTAAAGCGAATATTTAAAAAATGATCGATACCTCATGTCCTCCCATTATGGAATAAAAATAAATAAAACTAGTTAAAATCATTAAGAGATTTATAAAATGATAGAAATTCTACACAAAGTTTTATATATTGAATAATAAATAGCTTTATATATCAAGAAGTATCTGTCAAACTCGCCCAATTAACTTTTCTGCAATTTGGTCCAAAGATTTTATCATTCCACAGGCTGAGATTTATACTCAGCTCTTTCCAGTGTTCCTTTGGTATTGATTTTCCTGCAGTGATATTTCTCACAGTGAAAATCATAAAGTCGGTGTCTGCTTTTGTAGAAACGGCAGCAGTGGTTACTGCTGACCTCCTGATCAATAATTCAGCCTCTCCGGCAGCGCTCATCAATAATAAATCACCGGTTCATTATTTGAGGTGGAATGTTTCAGGACTCTCATCGCGGCCCGTGATTGGTCAGAAGAGCTGTCGGTCCTCTGCGGGGTCTCTTAAGCCCCGCCCACATGTCAGTTTCACAAAGGCCGAGTAAAGATGGCGGCGTTCCAGTGACACAGGAAATGAGTTTGGCTTTCAAAACAAAGCGTTTCTGAAAGCAACCGCTGAGAAATCTAAGCGACATTAATAACTGAACAATTAAGCATTTAATCCCTGTTGATTACAAATAAGAAAATGGCTACAAAAAATGTTCAAATACGTGTCACAAAAGTCCAACAAAATAAATGATTTATTCAAAAGCTCACTAAAACATAAAATACTTACATGTGAAAATAAGTCAGAAGTTGCTTTTCTGTCTTTTTAAATTGTAGATGAAGCAAACATTTTAAAATTTCACTCAGTGTTATTATTTTATTTCAGATTTTTAAAGTCTAAAATATGTTCTTAAATGCCAGAAAAGAAATGTTGGAATACGTATTAAAAAGCCATATTTGTGGTATTTTATAAAACACACAATAAATGTTAAACTTGTGGACTCAATTCTTGATTTAATATTCACGTAAGTTTTATGAACATATATGTCACTTAAAGCCTGATTTTTATGACATGCTGAGTGTATGAAAACAAATGTACATTCTGGACCACAAAACATTCTATATTCTTCACTATTCGTTTATTTCTAATATATTCAAATAGATAAATTACCAGTGAAGCTACACTTTGCACAACCTGCATGGGAATAAAATTAAAACACAAATCTAACCATGTGAAAAAGCTGTTTCTACAAGCAATATTTTAGTTGGTGTGCAATAAGCTTGTGAATGAATGGCTTTTTTCCAAACTGCTTTAGTTTGCAAAATGTTAATTCTTTCTATTAATATTTTACTTGTAGTTCTCCAGGTACTCCGGCTTCCTCCCACAGTCCAAAAACATGACTGTCAGGTTAATTGGTCTCTTTAAATTCTCCCTAGGTGTGTGTGTGTGTGTGTGTGTGTGTGTGTGTGTGTGTGTGTGTGTGTGTGTGTGTGTGTGTGTGTGTGTGTGTGTGTGTGTGTGTGTGTGTGTGTGTGAGTGTGTTCATGGTTGTTTGTTCTGTCTGTCTCTGTGTTGCCCTGTGTCAGACTGGCGACCTGTCCAGGATGAACCCCGCCTCCCACCTGGAACGTTAGCTGGAGATTGGCACCAGCGCCTCACAACCCCACTAGGGACAAGGCTGTTAGAAAATGAATGGATGATATGGTTCACACGCAAATTCGATTTATTTACAAAGTAAAGGATCATTAAAAAGTGCATAATTATTCAGACAATTGTCTGAGTACCAATGGGCCAATCTAATGATTGGCTTGTAATTATTCACAATAATGGCCTGAGTCAATATTTAATTTTTTTTTTTTTACAAAAGTGATTTGACAAAAAAAGAAAAAAATATCACCACTTCATTCTTGCAAATTCGGAATAAAAAATATTACTTTTCTTGTGGCAAAAAAATGACATTACTTTAGGAAGATGCTGAATCAATATAAATATAAAGATAAATTACTGAAAGAACTTTGATTGAATTACGCACATTCCGCCCTGATTCTGCTCTTGAGAATGTTAACGTTCATTTTTTAATACTTATTCCTTTATTTTCTTCCTTGACCGGAGGTCGCTTGAAGTGCTCTTATTTTGACGTCAGTAACCGGATGTGGAGCTGCTCAGCTTCTCTCCCTTGACAGTGTTGGTGTTTGCGGTGCTGAACACGGCGGACAGCAGCAGCCGATAGAAATCTGCAAAGGTAGGTTTTAATATCCTCATTCTGCTGCACTGACTCGACATCACGATCCAGGTTTGAGTGTTCCGCGTGTCGGATTCGCTTTGCGCGTTTTTATTCACGTGAAACCGGAGGAAAAAAATGGTTCCGATGGAAACCAGTGGCATTACAGCGTTTTCCCTGACAGCTGTTCCCATTGTGGAAAAGCAGCAAAACGCCTGATATGGATCCGTGAATGAATGAGTGGATGAATGAATGAATAAGTGAAGGCTGTAATGGATCTTCGCTTGGGCTCCGGGCCTGTCCCGGTCCCGTCCAGCAAGAAAAAGGCGTTTCAACCCTTGAGATGTTTCTGAAACTGATCCAAACGGGTCAGGGCCCGAAATTAAACAGGGATGAACTAAAAATGAGATGAGATGCGTTCAGTTAATGGTGGATTTCTAAGACAATCATCCTGAAATCTTTACACTGAAATTATATTTTTTTTTAAAAAACATAATCTATGAATCATCCATTCAAACTGAGCCATTTGGAGTGATGTATGTTAAAAATTTCAGTTCCATATTAGGTTTATATTAACTATATTTATTAATCTGTTTAGTGAGGTATAACTAGACAGTTTGTAGTTAAAATGCTGAATTTTAAATGTGGCTTTTGTGTTTAAAACTTGACTGTAATATAAAAAATTCAAATTGTACAGTAATGCATCTGTTGAGTCAGCTGAGTCTAAACTGAATTGATATTTAAAGGAAATATCTTCACATGCTCTGCATGGACATTAGCTGCTGGATCTGCAGGCAGGACTAGATGTTATCTGCAAAACCGGCATCCATCCATGCAATTTCCCTCAATCCTTTTCAAATATCAGGTAGCTTGGCATAAAACCGCATAAAAACAGTGATAAATTTCAGATTGTTATTTCTTTAAATAAGGATTTTATGCTCGGCAGAAGATGGGGTTGGCTGACATTTGAATGCATCTAAATCTCTCTCAGCATCAGCAGTTTTATGAACTGGAATCGGACCAAATTCAAGCGTTAATGGACCGACTGGCTCAACCTTTGAGCAGGAACAAAAGGAAGCCTCAAAGGCAGAATGTGCAGAGCAAACCTGCACTAAAGCGGTGGAGAGACAAAAATAGGAAAGAGACATCTCGCCCAAAAGCAGCACAAAGTGTTCCTCAAACAGACGCGAGGTTTTTATATTTAAACTTTGCTGAATTCACCTGCATTCTGCAACACACACACACACAAAACATCCTCCACATCCTGCCTGCTCTCCTCGCTGCCTCTGTTTTCAGAGTGAGAGAGATGAAAAATGAAAGGATGTCTATTTATAGCGCCCACTCCTCTCATCTGCATCCCCTCGCTTCCTGGAAGAAGGAGGAGGCACGTGATTGGAGGACAAAACGGGAGGAAAATCGGCGTCTCAGGCTGATGGGGAGCAGGACGGCAGCTGACTAACACACACGCTGTCTGCTTGTATTAATCAGTAATTACTGTTTCACACGTTTATGGAGCGTTTGCGACATGAGGGACGTGTCAGGAGAAACAGCTTCATTTTTTATTTCTAAACTTCAGATCTGAGCACAAACAGACAAATTGCAGCAGCGAGTTTTGGTGAAAGATGCAAACATAAGCAGCTTGATGTGAAGTCAGGGACGTGCTGACTTCTGTTCAAAACAAAGACAATAATCCTCACGATGGCACTTTTCTCTGTGTGCAAGAAAAAAATACTTCTAGTCCAAAATACCCAAAAGCTTTATTTGATTTTTAGAGCCTGAACTGGTGGAGATTATTTAAAATTTAGTACTTTGTTGTCCTACTGCAGAGGTGGATAGTAACTTTTTTGAAAACATACTTTTTGGAGTAATTTTTAGTGCATTGTAGTTTTTACTTTTACTTGAGTGAAATTTCTGGATTTTCTACCCAGTGAATGAAAAACAAACATGTTTTAACCAGAAATCCACCAGTCACAGACACACAGCTTTGGTTTTTGTTAAAGTTTCATAAGTTTTATATTGAAATTTTAGAATAATACCTATATTATTCTAAACTAGAATAATATAAATAATTTTTATATTTTAGAATAATATTAATATTATTCTAAAATATTTATAATGTGAAATTTGTTACGAAAGTAGGTTTTATGCTAAAAGGTTGACACAAAGCCAGGAAAACAACAGATTTAAATGAATAATTTTTATGATGACTGGAAAATATGTCTTCATTAGACTGTCTTAGAAAACCAGAGCATCTTTAGTCAGAGGTTTTTTCAAATTTGCTGTAATACAGACTGTTACAGGAAGTCTTTCCTGCCCACAACCGTCACCACATGCAATAAGCCTCTAAAAAAATCGGAATCAATCAGTTACAACATTTAATAACCTTCTGGGATCAATAAAGTATGTTTGAATGGAACTGAATAGAACTGAATAACCTGATAGTATAGATTTTAAAGTTTAAAAATATTACGCATTAAATTAGTTTTGAAGCGTCAGAGAGTCCACTGTGACTCACTATGAACCCAGTTATGTTAGAAAATGTCTAATTTATAACAGGCAGGCAATAAAACTCAATGGAGACTTTAAGACCAGCAATGCAGAGTTAAACTGCATGAAACTGTTTTCGGGCAGATTGCCAGTTTGATTGAATCAAGAGCAAAACAAGCAGCTGACAAAGTGCAGTCATGCCACATCTTGTCTCTCATTGCAGTATTCTCAGCTTTGAATCATGAAGATGTCGTCTTTAGTTGAAAATTAACTCCACCTTACGAGTTCTGGTTAGTGCATTTATACAAAACAATCTATAGCATAGAAAAGATTTATATTTGTAGCTGCAAAGCGCAGCAGTTTGAAGCACTGTTGCCTTGCCGCAAGAAGATTCTGTGTTCAAATCCCAGCCTGGAGTCTTTCTACATGGAGTTTGCATGTCAGGTTAATTGGTTTCTCTTAATTGCCCATAGTTCAGAATTATTATACCTGTGTTGGACTGGCTACCTGCTCAGGTCGTACTCCACCTCTCGTCCAATGATCGCCGGAAATAGTTAGTGGATGGAAAAAGAAAAATGTAACAGACCTCTGTGTGTGTTAAAATACTTCCTCTATGTGTGACTGCAAAGTTTCAAACTGATTGGGTGGAAACAAATCCAGCGGACCAATCAGAAGGCAGATCATTTTTAAAGCAGTCGGGTGTTTTTTCCAAACTGCACACTGTGAAATCCTACTACTAAAAGTAGCTTTTTTAAGGTTACATCATGTTATAATGTAGTTTCCTCGTCATGAATCCACCTAGAATGTTGCTTTGATTCTTTCATGCATGTTTCAGAAATCCTTTCATCTCCATGGCGACCAATCAGCTGTGCCTCCTCTGTGACTTCCCCATTGAGCTCCTTCAGACTAGCCAGCAGCAATTAGCAAACACTTGGTGGAACTGAGCTCATTATACGAGCTACTTCTCAGGGAAAAACTGGTAAAAATATTCCTGAGAGAGGAGCGATGTTGTAAAGACTTTCTGAAACCGGAGTTTCAGGAAGAGCAGGAGTTTTTAAAGAGACAGAGCCCCAATTTCAAGGTGCTAAATGATGAAGTAACATTTCTTTGAAGTCACATTTGATATATACTGCATTTCTATAACAACTGAAGGTAACACAGTTATTTGATTGTGCTATAAAATGGAATTGGCACTGGAACATACACAATACTTTAGTATTTCCTCCATTTGCTCTTTCTGGTCTGCTGGAGTCCTGAAGCCGTAAACTGACTCTGTTACTCACTTCAGACTGACGGATAACTGACCTGGTTTCTCATCTGTTCTCGAGTCTCAGCTGGTCTGAGCATGTTCTGCCTTTTGAAATCTTCTTTCTCCTTTTAGTTGATTTCTTGAATCTGTAGATTAAGCAGCAATCAGACTTGGGTGGGTCTAATTACTGTTCACAATCAGATTTAGATAATTTATGCTACTTAACTATGACTTAACAAAAAATAAGAAGAAATTGTAAGTAGGAAATGAGTGAAGACATGTTAGTGAGTCCTCTTTCTTAAAAGAAGAAGGTGTTTGGATGATCTGGGATCATCTGTGGATTATCTGTGCGTCTGCGTTAAGCCAGCTGATTCTGATGCAGTCAGCTGCAGCGCCGCTCAGACCCGGATCAATCCAGCTCCTGCAGAACGTCAATCTCCTATAGGCGACATTTTTAGAGGGGAGCTGCATGATGTCAACGTCCTGCACTGAAACAACACTCTTAGTCATGATTGGATTGAAAAAAATGAAAGAGGCTCTCTTTGGTTAGAGGATGGAATAAATAAAATCAGACAGGAATGAAGAAGGGTTATGAAAACTGTTATGGTTTAAACAAGGATGCACCGATACCGATGCTCTTTTCACTTCCAATACAGAAAATTAGTGCTGATTTGATTCAAAAGGTTTGTCTTTTTAAACACAGACATAACTGTACTGAATTACAAATTTATTTGTTAAATCTGCACACTTAAATACACCAGTAGCTTCACAAGCTTGGTCATGTAAAAACGACAAAACCTTAATTTGTTCAGTCAGCGCAATTAGGAGAATAACAGCCAATGGAAAATAAGACATGTAAAAATAAACTAACTGTGGTTTCAAATGGTTCAGAAAGTGCAATTAGGAAATCTCAATATGATGTAAAACATAGAATTAGACTAAATAGATCTGCTTTTAAGGATCAGGAACATGTAGTCGATATAGAATTTATTTCAATATCAGAACCGATACAAATGTTAATATCGGCGCATCTCTAGTTTGTGGTTTGTGTAAAACAGAAATTGCTCTTTTATTTAAACACTTCACATAATAATTTAATCATTTAAACATTTGAAAATTCAGAGCATGTAGAAGGAGAGCTTTTTAAATATTTTTCATAATTTGCTAGCAAACCGATTACCTGCATTGCTCTGCGTATTCAGTGTTTGTGCCTCTTCTTTCGCTCCTAACATCAGTGACAAGTGATCCAGCAGCGACTGTCAGTGTCTGTTTCACCGTTTGAGTTTTAACTTTCACGTCACAATTTTCCTGGCATTCAGACTCGACTCTGTCTTGTTTTTACTCATCAGACCTTCAGACTTTAATCTCAGTCTGCAGATTGTTTAGCTCTCTAATAAGGTAAACTAAAAGCATTCATTAATATTTCTCCATCATTTTCAGCAAAGTCCATTATGTTGTCTCTGATCTTACTCTGACTGAATAAATAATTTAGTGTTACACTCTTGGTATGATTTATTGAAAGATTAGAACACCTAATACAAAAGCAAGGTTATGAATAAATTCATCAAAATTAAATTGTTCAATGCAATAGTAAAAACAGAAAGAAAGGAGATTAGCTCTTGCTACTGGCACTGCCACACCTTTAGATGCTATTACATCATAATTTTGCAGTACAGTAGTGCTTTGTGGTTGCAAACTGACATGTAAATAAAGTCTTAAGAAGATTGATTATTCATGTAAAGTGTTTTCAAATTAGCAATAATACAAATACTCCAAACATTCACTAAATAAAGGGAATTAAAAAATCTCACCTGTGTTGGTCAAAAACCAAATGAAAGCTGCAGAATCCTGCAGCCTGAAACACATTTGCATGGTGAGAATTTGTTAATTACTTTGAGATTAGTGAGCGAAGCCTCTGACTGTAAGCTTCTGTATCAAATTTTCGTTTAGCGGAGGTTAAAGCAGCTCTCTTCTTCGCGCTTATCTCAGGGAGGCAGAGAAAGGGCTGCAGTAATCTCTCCGCACAGCTCATGCTGAACAGCCACTTCTGAAAGGCAGCAAGAGTCTGAGATGGTGTTTCATGACATCCAGACTTGCAGAAGTGACCAATTATTTTTAACCCCCTGTAATCTCTGCTTAGCTTTGATTTTCAAGCCAGTACCTCAGGTTTGTAGAATTGCTGCAAGATCAACAGAAAAGTTGCTGGTTTGGGCTCCAGTTACATTTAAAACTTTAAGAAGGCTGAATGTCTTGGAGTCACTTTTTTAGGAAGAGAAGTCAAAACATTCCTGATAATAATATGGACAATAAATCAATATCAATGATATCAATGATAACATGTCTGATATGATATTCAACATGCAAAATATAGACCATGACCCCTTGAACGTGACGTCACGCTCTACAGAACTCCGCCCACTTCGCCATGACGGAGCGACGTGAAAACAACCGTTCCTTTAAAGCTCGTCTAAAAACAGACATCTCTAACCGATTATCGCTATTTAGTTGATTTTACTTTGAAACCGGATACAGGTTGCTGCGCGGTCGGCTGCACAAACAGACGAGGATGCAAACCAACCTTGTTCTTTTATAACTTTTAATGAGAAAAGATGGCGGCGTCGGACAGCAGCGTCATAATAACCGTCAGCCCTCCACGTAACCGCGCATTAGCAGCGAACTGTTTTTACGAGGGAAGAAAATTAACGTTCATATACTTAATAAGTAAGTGCGATTTGGAAAGATATCAAAAATCGCTTTATGGAGAAGGTCTAACACTGCATTGGTAATCATGGAGACAATTCAGCCGTCATGTAGCCTAGCATGTATGGAAAAAAACTGGTTAGCATCTCGTCTTTTGTGCGTTTTTTAACGCGGCTCCAGTGGAAAGGGAAACGCTGTTTATGACATAGTGATATAAACCATGTTGTGTGAATTTAGGTGAAGTCTGTAATTTGATCAGGAGGGAGGAGGTAAGCTAGCTTTTCCCAACTGTTGTAAATAGAGCCCCAGCCAGGTGTGTTATGTTCTCAGACAGATTAGCTGGAAGCTAACAAGTAGAAGCTATTGATAAACTGACAAAAACAATTGGAAAACAATTTCAGTCGCTCTATTTAACACTCCGTTCCCTCACATCTTGGGGCTTTGCGAATCTACTGACTCACTCCTTGATCACTAAGCAACTCACTCACTCTTTGGTTACCTAGCAACAACCTTTGCAGTAACTCGCGCAGCAGCAGTTTTAAGTTTTCACCAATGCGCCACTTAAGGGTTAAAAAATAAAAAGCAACAGCGTGAAGTGAAAACTGACTAAAACAGGAATGGTCAGGCCACCTGTTTGGAAGTATTTTAGATGTTTAAAACAACAACAACAAAAATTCAATAATTATTGATATTGACTGATATATCACTGAGTCAGCTCAAAAAGAATGTCAATAAAGGAGGTTAGAGGCAGAATATCTGCAGAGAGGAGAAAGGCGTTAGTAATATGAGTACATGGGTTTCTAATAAAGGTGGCCAAAGCAGAAACTAAACACCAAATGTGACGCTGATTCCAGTGAATTTGTTCCCTGGAAACGCTGCTGCCTCATTATAGATTAGTTTTACTGCCGTTCATGCAGTCGGATGGAAAAGGTCGCTGTGGGAGAATATGCTAAATACATGGTTTTAAATTTTTTTGGATTATTTGATTAATAACTGGATACCAAAATGTGAATAATAGGAGATTTAGTTGCAGAATTGGAAGTAGTTGAAGCTAAAACTACGTGAGGAGTTCTGGGTAGAACATGTTTACAAACAAGATTTTTTTAGATCTTAAATGTGAAATGTTTACATATTGTGTTCAGTTTGGGCTTAATTACTGCTTTGAGTGTGTTATTCTGTCATCTAATGGCCTAGTTTTAGTCCGTGTTCTCCAGTCAACAATTAATCGATTTCTAAATTAGTTGGTAATTGTCTCAGTAATCGATTAATCATGACTAAAATGATTAACCGTTTCAGCCCTACACCTCAGTGCAGTTCAGGTTGCAGCAGGTGGTTGTTTCTCACCTTTATTCAGCCTCAGTGTGTTGGGGAAGGGTCTTGTTCAATTTTTAACAAGCATTTCTCTGTCCCTGGGTGTAAGCTGATAGGCTGCGACTGTGAGATGGGAGCCGTTGTTTTGTTTGGCTGTGAGTTCTTGTGTTCCTCTGCAGCCGAGCTGAGATAACAGTCTAAACATAGAGAAGGGTGAAGGGACTCTCAGAGTCCTGCGGTTCTGTCAGGATTTAACCTGGTCTTCAACCTTCAGCGCTTGTGTTTGCATGCTCACATCCTACCGACAGCAGATGAGACTTTTCTCATTTATGTGGAGTTTGATGAGACCTGTGGTGTGGTCTGTCTCACGCTGCAGGCAAAATGTCTGCTGTGACCTATAATGAATTTTTGTTAACGCTATTTAGCTGCCATAATTTACTCAAGAGCAAAAATTTACTAAAAAAACAACAAAAAAAAAACATGTAAATTTCTGAGTTTGATTAAGCAGAACATTTTAAATTTGGAGATTAATTTCTGAATTTTTCTAGAAAATTACTTTTTTTTTGACAAAAGTGTAGACCTATAAGGAACTACGAAGGTCCTCATAGGCCATTGTAGAAAGGAATATGAATAGAATAGGTATGTTAGGAACCAATGCAGAAGAATCAGATGTAAAGCAAACCAGAAACCTAAAAACATACCAAATATTGGTTGCAACCCCCTCCAGAAAGAAAACGAATCCAAGGAAACATGGCACAGTATTTAAAGCAGACATGCTGGATTGGGTTACTATTTGAGGGACCTACTTGCTGTTTGACCAAAAACTCTTAAGTTACCGCTGTCACACAGGTAGCAGCTATCAGTGGTGCCATTGTTAGCGTAGCTGTCAGGCTACAGCTTTACCAGGCTGTAACTTTAGCTGCAAGCATGAAGCTTCCTCCAAATAGTTTGTGGAAGACCTGAATTCACATAAACTGGAAACAACCCACAGACTAGTCATGTATCTGTCCACAGTGGGTCAAAAATAATTTTCTGAAAGCTACAAAAACACAAATTTCAGCTTCTGTGTAAATCTCCAAGCATGCTATCTGAGCAGTGGATGATCCTGCGTTGTTTGCCAGACACTTTGACTGATTCGCTCCACACAGTTTTACCAATAACAAATCTCAAATTGGTGTTTTTTTTCCCCCTCTGACTCTGCAAAGTACTGCTTTGATTAATATCCAGGCAAAAAATGTGCAACCGCTAACAGCAAGTATTTAATCTCTGCCACTTCTTATGCTGAGTCAAACTGATGCTGCAGGAATCTCACGTCTCACCCAAACTCAGAAACTTTGAAAAACGGGGAACAAGCTTTACATTTTTTGGGCCAAATCAATCACACCAACATAAAACCATTATTTCAAAGAATCAGTCATCTGTCCTTCCATCTGGTAATCAACTGTAACAGCTCTTTCCTACAAGGACTTTGGTATTTACTCCTGATGAAAACCTTGGGATGACATTACAAATATTCACATTTTGTTATGATTGCAGCCACTTCTTTAAGCAGTTCCAAATGCAGAAAGCAAGAAATAAAGCAAATGGAGAGGGAGATTATTAGGGCTGAAACAATTAATCAGATTAATTAGGATGGTTTGATCAAATAACTGTTAGCTGGAGTGAAGTTTCACACTGCCACTTTTCTAACTTCTGGATGCAGAAAGCTGTGCTACAGTAATAACAGGAGCTTCATGTCCACAAAAAGGGCTCATGAAATCTGTTACTAAAAAAAAGATTGTTTTGACTTGATTTTCTTTTAATTTCCAAAATGTTATTTTCTTTTATGATATTACACCATAGACACAACATCCTCCATCAAAGCTTTTCTCTTTCTTCGTTTCCTCTAGATGGCCTCGGCAACAGCGACCTACGGACAGAAAGAGTCTTCGGACCAGAACTTTGACTACATGTTCAAGATCCTCATCATTGGCAACAGCAGCGTGGGAAAAACCTCCTTCCTGTTCCGCTACGCCGACGACTCGTTCACGCCGGCGTTCGTCAGCACAGTGGGGATCGACTTCAAGGTGAAGACCATCTACAGGAACGACAAGCGGATCAAACTACAGATCTGGGTAAGACCGAGGAAAAACGGTTTTTATCAAAGCAACAAACCAGTTAAAAGTAATTTATATTCTGACCTAATATTTGATTAGAGCACGGAGTTTAGTCACATTTCTCCTGATCAATCTTGGTCTGCTTTATTCACACACACTTTTTCAGCCCTGCTTAAAAAATAATTGTTTATTATTTAGCTCAGCTTTGCACCCTGTTACTGGGATCCATCATTAAAACACACATACAGTATATGCAAATACATGATGGATGATAAATTGAACAGACATGGCAATAAAAAAATTGAATACAGTTAATACAAAATGTTGATAAATAAAATATACACAATTACAGATAGTGAGACTCTTAGCAGCTTCAGCCAACGTTTTTAGAAAATCTTTAGCTTTTGTTTTGCGGTTCAAATGTGTACAAAGCAATGATATTATCACCATATAATCCAAATTGATGCTCGCGGTCCAAATCTGCCCCATGGTAGCCACAGAAATGCATTAAAAAGATTTCTAATAATATGGTTCTGGTTCTATTGCCTGATTGAAGTTTACATGAACTCTTTGTGCATGCATACGTTTCTCTGTCTTCCCTCAGTCCAAAAACTTGTCAGAGCTGTTCAGTATTTTGCTTTAAGTACAAAACAAAAGTGAATGTGTGTGCACAACTCTGCAGTGAGCAATGGATGGATGTTTCATACAGCCTGCTTTACCTTTCTGCAGTTGTTTTTCTGTAAAAATCTTGAAACTATTTTTGTAAATGTGTTTGCTGCTGGAGTCTTTATTATCCTCTCACTAATTCACAGATTTTCTGCCCTCTGTAGTGATATATTCAAAATCTAATATATGGATTTGGTATTTGCTAATTAGATCGTAAATTAGTTGCTTGCAGCAACTCCCCATCTAGAGAGAGTTTCTGCAAGCAGCAATAAAAGGTTTTTTGAGAGAAAGTTGATGTTTTGTTTTGGGTTTTTTTCTTTGTAGATGAAAATGCGAGCCAAATAGACATCTGAATTATGATTGCTTCTTCTACACTCATATATTTTGATGGCATTCACATCACTTAGAAAAAAATATTTAATATGAAATTTCAGAGAGAGTGAACTGCAGTGAAGCAATGCCCCATGGTGCAGTACAGTTATGCAAACCAACATTGCCTCTTCTGCAGCATTTTCACTCAGATTGAATGTGGAGAAAATAATAAACCAACCCAGAAATAATAAGAGGTCGCGGTCAGCCGAGATGACATATCCGCAGGGGCAAACAGAACGATGTTTTCTTTTGCATCCGACATGTGTTTGTTATTAGAGCTCAAGTGTAAACCCAGTGGAAGCATTTAAGATCAGCTTGCAGGGTAAACAGGTTCACTAAGGTTAGCAGAGACGCACTAAACTGGAGAAAACGAGGACCGCTTCATTTTCCCCTAAATACCACACATCCCTCTCTGTCACATCACAAAAAGCAGACACATCGCTACAGGTTTGACAGGAAATGAATAAAAAGTAAACCTAAATATGCTTTTTATAATTTTGTTGCTATGCAGTTACTGCAGTTTATGCTAATCTGATCTGTCATGTTGATTTACCTTCATGTTCTTGGTGTCTGCAGTCTGTTCCCATTTCCTGGGATCATGTTTACAAGACATCATGGCATGAAAATCAAAATGTTGGACCAGAAATTTTGAATAAATCTGTTTATTTGACTCTGATAACGTGAAATTTGTCATTCCTAACCTTTAGTAAATGGACAGATGACAGTTATCCTACATAAAATACATAAAATCTCCACATTTAATAGGATTTTATTATTTATATTCCAATTTTATACTGATATTCAAGTTTTTTTTAAATTAGCCAATCTTCACTAGCTGCATTTTTTTGAGGATTTATATAAAGACAATAATTTAAGAATGGATGTGGGCATTAATAGACTAAATCAAATCAATTTTCTACTTAAATAATTAAAATAGAGATTATGTGTGTTTTTTTCTATGTAGAAACACTAGATAATATATTGTAGATGATAGTAATGCAGTATTTACACTTTTCAGTGGGCGCCCTGCTTTTCTGGAATGTTCTGCTTATAATATGAGTTTATATAACACCACTCCATGCTACCTACACTGACCAGCAGGTATAGCGCTACAGCTCTTATCCTCAGCAGCCGACAGCGCCGTGAGTGGATCTAAATGGCAGCAGGACAAAAAGTCATGTAGATTAAATGATATGAAGTTGCTGAGACTGAATTAGGTCGGCCACATTGTCACTGATTCCTGTTCTGGGATTTTTATCCAATACATATATTGGTATCGTATCGATGCATCTTTACTCAAAGTCTCCAGACTCACTTTTATCTAAACGTCTGAAAACATTCTTTGTCAATCTAACATTTTATAAACCTCTGATAGAGGAGTGGTTCCTTTCTGTGTTTGTTTTCAGGACACGGCGGGTCAGGAGCGCTACCGCACCATCACCACGGCGTACTACCGAGGAGCCATGGGCTTCATCCTCATGTATGACATCACCAACGAGGAGTCCTTCAACGCCGTCCAGGACTGGTGCGTTTTTGGCTCAAGGAGAGAGTTTTTCTTTTTCTGTTCTTTTAATGTATGATGCCTCCTGTTTGTGAGCAGGAGGTGCATGAGGATGATGGATGACGTGTCAGGAAAGTCTGGAAATAGAATAAGAGTCGTGGCTGTAAAAAGAACAAGGATCAGATTATCTCCAGGAATCAGACGCTTGTTTTAACCTCTACGTCTAAGAAAATAATAACAATTTTGATAACACAACTTTTTAAAAATTAATTTGAATTTATGATGAAATAAATAAAATTCTTATCATGACAAGAAATTAATCTCGATAAATTATAAATTCCCACTCATATCTGCTTGTAGCCATTTCAGGCGTAAAAGGTTTGGACTGAGCAAATACACATATTACAGAAAAACAAATGTGTTTTATTGCACAAAAAACCTTTGAATCTTTCATCTGTGGTGACGTTTTTGTTTCTCGGTTCTTTAATTGTTGCCCTGTCATGCTTACGGCCGTCAGAGGAATCATTTGCAGACTTTGAGTTTCCGCTGTAAGCTGGCCGTGTTTTCCCAGGTCGACTCAGATTAAGACGTACTCGTGGGACAACGCCCAGGTGCTGCTGGTAGGAAACAAATGTGACATGGAGGATGAGAGGGTGGTGAACGCAGAGAGAGGCCGGCAGCTCTCAGAACATCTTGGTGAGTTTAACTCCCGTCGCTTTAAGTATGATGCAATAAACTAGTAACTAAAGACCATTTCAGTCATAGAGATTTTACCAATTATTCTGACATTTAATTGATTAATCAGATCAATAAAACTGTCACATTCTGCAGATTTTTCAATTAACCATTTAAGCTTATTTTATACAGTTTTAGGAATCTCTAAAAAACAAATAATTAAATTTTTAAAGTTTTTTAAATAAGAAAAAACAATTTTATTGACTAAAATGCAACAATATCGAATTCCTTTAGTGTATCTTGATCATTTGTAGCAAAGGATACATCTATAGATAAAACATACTTCTAACATAAACATATGAAAAGCCTATTTTTTCAATTAACTATTAATAATTGGACAGCAAAAGGTGTTTAATGGAAAATCTTTTACACAATATTTGAACCAGGTGAAGTTAAAACTGCCTCTTGAGTTCTGAGTAGAAGATAATCCAACAGACAAAGAAGGTTTTTCATTTTAAATGCAAAATATATTTATTATTTGGTTTAACTACTATTATTAATATGTTTCTTTCTCAGCAAATTACCTTTTGTTTGACTGAATACTCCAGTTAGTGATGAATCAATCTCAAAATTTGTTGATTATTATTTCTTTAATTGATTAATCACGATTAATTGGATGAAGTTCCTAATCAGAGCCGCAGCTTCCAAGTTTCACAGCTTCCATCTGACAAAGCGGTTATTCCCCGCACCGACCTTATTCAGCTCCTTCAGACTAGCCAGCAGAAACTAGTAAACACTGGTGGGAGCTGCACAACTCGAGAAGACCTCCTTCTCGGTGCAACACTGGTTAAAGGGTTAAGAGATGATGATGTTGTGATGACTTCCTGAAGGCAAAGTTTCAGGAAGAGTAGGAGTTTTTAAAGAGACAGTAGCCCAATTTCCAGGCGTTAAAATACCAGCACAATTTTCCTTTAAATTATATTTGACATATATATCATTTTTACAACAACTGATTATAACTTGATTGTGCTATAAAATGGCACTATGTGCCTAGAAAACACATAATCCTGCATCTTTAGTGAGAATCTGTGGTTTCTCCTCCAGGTTTTGAGTTCTTCGAGGCCAGCGCCAAGGACAACATCAACGTGAAGCAGACCTTTGAACGCCTCGTCGACATCATCTGTGAAAAGATGTCTGAGAGTCTGGATGCCGGCGATCCCGCCGTCACGGGGGCCAAGCAGGGGCCCCAGCTGACAGAGCAGTCTGCCCCTCCCCACCAGGACTGTGCATGTTAAAGCTGACTCAGCAACTCTTCCTGCTGTCATTTCCCCTCCGCTCCTTAGATCCTTACTTCAGCATCCTGTTCGCTCCTCTTCCTGCTCCTTTTTGTTGGCTGATGATCACAAGAGAAGGGCTGGAAAGAGTCTGGGCCGCTGCTGCAGGTGGTGTCCCCACATTTTACTGAACGTGTTTCCGTTGAGTTCCTCCACATTCGGGAGACGTTAAGGTGTTTTTAATCCGCACAGGTGTTGATCTGATGCCAAAGCAAGCCCAGTAAAACCAGAGCGTCTCAGACTCTTTGCAGCTCAGGCTCTTGCCGGTTTCCCCTGATCCTCGGTTTGGTTTTAAAAGAAGGATTTGACGGCGATCATCCTCAGAGTGCCATTTAAATCCTTCCAGAGTTTACAGTTTCATGTCTCGAAGTAAGAGATGAAAGCCTTGGATTTGGTGACCAAGACTGTGGAGTTTCACAGGTGTTTTCAATCCATCTGAGAAATAATCAAAACCCTTGTGTTGCATTTCTACGACGGAGTATTAGGGTCACCCTAAGAAAACAAAAAATACATAATCACAAGAATAAACCTGTGAAATTGTGAGGATAAAGTCAAAATAATACATAATATTATGACTTTAATCTCATAATGATTTATTCTCTTAATATGACTTTTATCTCAAAATATTAGGACTTTATTCTTCTATTATTTCAATTTTATTCATGTAATATGATTTTATTCTGATATGAGTTTGAATTTTCATAATGTTAGGAATTTATTTGTATTATTTTGACTTTATTCTTGTATCACTTTACTCTCAAAATTTGACTTTATTCTTGTATTATTTCAACTTTATTCTCGCAATTTTATTTTTTCATTCGTTTCTTATTATTGCCCTGCTACTCCGCCGAACATTTCAGATCCAAAATATACACTTAATTTTGTATTTTTACCTACTTACACTTGAAAACTGCAGGAATTAAACCAACATGACCATTTCCTCAGCTCTTCTGAGCATCTTTCATCACCGTTTTTTACTCTAATTCCTTCTGCAAATTTTTATTTTATATTTTCCAGCCTTGTTCTTTTCATAACCTAAACCAGAGAGAGTAAAAAAGACAGACAGGCTATTGCAAGGTGAAAAAGAGAAAAAAAAAGTATATAAATGGATAGAATTTTTTTAATTTAATTATATTTATTTCAGATGTACATATAAATGTTGTGCAATATATACATATACATATAATATCTACAGGTATGCACTTCTGCAAAAAGATTATAAAAAGTGTGATGTACTGCGAGGATAGTGCTGGATAAAAAAAAGGTGTTTTGTTGTAGGATTTGTTTCTCGTTTCCCCGCTTGTGGCTCCTTTCAGGAACGATTCAGTTTCATTCAGTCGAAGAAGAATCACTTCAGGATGGAAAACTGCATACAGTTTCACAAAAACCTGATTGAAATTCTGATTATAAAGTTGCTCTAAGCACTTTATCGATGTTGATGGTCGACTTTCAGGATAAATGCAACTCTCATCCTGAACTAAGACTTTGTGTTTTTGAGCTGGAAATTAACCATAAATAAAGTAACTCTAAGCTCAAAGTCGGATGATTTATCACTAAGATTGTAAGAATGGTGAAAAATTTTACTGTTCGTCGTTACCCTTAGTAATTATGTGTAAAAATAGCTGCCTTTAAATGGGTTTAAAGCTCTCAGACGCATTTGGAGTAGATTTTGAAAGTAATGTTTTTATGTTATTCTGCTTTTCTCTCGTTGCTGACTGGCTGTCTTCAGTGAGGAACCAGAAGGAGAGATTACTGCTGACTCAGTTTGTTGTTACCACAGGGTATATATTTGTGAAATTTCATTTTGAGATATTAGTTCTTGACAGGTGGAACGCGACAGCATGCAGGTTCTGCTTCGAAAATACTGAAGTTACAACTTTGCATTTCCTCTCCAGAGACCAAACTTTAAAAAAATGACAGTTATTTTTGTTTAAATGTTTCTTTTCTGATGTATAAGTTTTTAGATTGCATCTAAAAACTAGACTTTGATAGGGTATGCAATGCTCTCTACAATCATTGGCATGCCTGGTAAAAAAAAAAAAGCATTGCAATGAAATATTGTTTCAGGACTTTGGATTAGTTTTTGTTCCACTACATGCAGCCAAATTGAACCCAGGAGCCATTTTCTTGTAGTAATTTCCTTACTTGCAGCATAAAGATAAACACACACATGGTTTACATTCACTGCAAAAACACAAAAGTAGTTTTTGTCTATTTTAATTGTCTGATTTAGAACTAAAAATAATTTTCAAGTACATTGTTAGCAAGATATAGAAGCTTATTTTAAGAAAATATTTCCTTAGTATGAATTTTTAAGCAGTGCTGCTTCCACAGGGAGATTATTTTATTTATAATCAGGGAAATGTCTTGCTATGAATGAAATAATCTGCCAGTGGAACTAATCCTATCTTACCAGTTTTAAGCATTTTTATGACATAAATCAAACTCCTGTATTTTGCTGAAAAGTTACTTGTAAATTAGTTTTGTTTTATTTCAAGTGTACTAAGATATTTACATTAGAAAATGGGCAAAAAAAAATACTTGGTAAGATTTTGAGTTTTTGTAGTGTTTGTTACATATGTTGCTTTCACTGATTAGCAAATATGATGAGATTTTTAAATTTGAACTGTGAAGTTTGATCAAATGCAAAAATGGTTAATTTGTCAATCACAAAATCATGGATTATTTAGTTTGATTATGATGATCAAACTAAACCAGAAAATTGCAAAACGGTTATGTTGTAATTCATAAAGTAATTGTGAAAAAATTGTGACGGAGGTTGAACTTCAGCAGTCGGGGCAGGTTTCAAACCTTCATCCTGAACTGATTCAGTTCAAGCATTTAGCGACTCGTTTTCAAGCAGCACGGCTTGATCATCTGCTGCAACTCAGATGATCCTTTTCCACAGTGACAAACAGCATTTCTGCTGAAACTTTGTCAGAGTTTGCTTTGCAGAGCAGCTCGACTTGTCTGTTGCAGGCTGCCGTGTAAATGCTGGTTTAGTTTTGTTTGAGAAGATCTCAGTTCCTGCTGGTTGAACGCTGGGAAGCTTTTGAGAGCTGGAGGAAGGGCAGGCGAAAAAAAAAAGAAAATCACCTGTTCGAAAAGTCAACACAGCCGCACTTTTATGGGGACGTCCTTCCTCAGAACATATTTACTCTTGTTTTACTGCATTTTCCAAAGCTGAAACTGGTTTCCCTCCTTTAATGGAGCACTGTAGATGTGGCTTGTTTTTGCTCCACCAAGCTGGACGAAGATTGATAGACGTGTTTAATGAGGAAAGAAAACAAAAGATGACTTAAGAAAAATCTGTAATATTAAAATGAACGTAGTGTTTTAATTTTTTCTTTAAGTGCTTCTAAAATGACAATGAATCCCCAGCCAGAGTTCAGTGATTTTTCTCCCTGTGAATATTTCACTTCTTACTGGTTGTGACTGTTTTGAGATAAACTGTTCTCCTTTCTAATACGTCTTCCTCTCCGTCTAAACCTGTAAATACTGTACCTCTCAGTCATACGTGTGGATTGTGTTGTCTCGACTCAGGCTTGCATCCAAACAACAACAACAAAAGAAAAAGACCTGAAAACCCCGAAAAGAGCCATGTTGCACTGTATCTGCATACATTTCTAGGCCTACTTGTGAATGAATGTGTCACTCAGCTATGAAGCAATACACTCTGCAGCAGAAAAACACAAAGCGCCATCCAGCTTGGTAGAGGTTCTTCTACTAGCACGCAGGAACGTGTTTGTTTTTCTTTTTGGTCTTGTATCACTGCCTCTTCAGATCCTTTCAGTTTGGGCCATTAAAGTGAGAGAATATGCTGTGGATGTTTTTATCTGTACTTTGTGGTAAAACAATAAAAATAAATGACTAAAAAAAGCACTTACTGGTTGATTTTGCAAACCAACATTGAGTAGAGTTATACCTGAAAGAAACAGATTCTGATTATTTACTTTGATTTCACACCTATATAGAATAAATCAAAATGCAGAATTTAGTCTGAAAATGTTGATGTTTACTAAACAAAATAAATTCAAAGAATAAATTAACATATTTTGACAAACTTCACATCTATTATATTGTTAAAACAAAACTATATTTTGTCTCAGTGCACTGAAAATAAGACAAAACTAATTTATAAGTAACTTTTCAGCAAGGTAAGTTAGGATGTTTTTTTTAATAATTAATATTATTATTATTTTCCTTTTCCTCTAATATTGTAACAGGATTTACATTTAAAATAAACACCTGCATCAAAGGGGAACATTTTTAAACATTAAATGCTGAATGTTCTTTGCCAATTGATCTCAGACTCACGTTTGAAAATTTCAGTTTTTGTTCCATATTTCACCTTTATTTAACCAGGAATGTCCCATTGACATTATAAACCTCTTTCTCAAATGTTTTACATTCACACTTAGTCCTAAATTTAAAATAAGTTCAATATAAAACAAATCAGTCATCTTTAGTCCATGAAATATCAATTTAACATGAGAAAAAAGTTTCTGTACAAGAGGGTGATCCAAATATAGCAAGACCGTGCTTGATTAAAAAGTTTTTATGAATTGATCTTTAATCAAATTGATCCCTCCATGCTGCTTTGCGTAATAACATTTCGATTAATTAGTCTAATTAAATCTTTTGTAATTTTGTAGTTTCAACATTTATCCACCAGGGGGAGTAAAACATCTGTCTGAAAATGAAGTATGAATTTTTCAGATATATTATATAATGCACATTTCACTAATAAAGAATTCATTAAAGGAGCAGCCATTAACTGAACAATTATCAGGAGTGATAACTGTCCTAATATTAGGATTTTCCAAGTGAAGGTGTCACTTTGTGCTTTAAAAATCATTTTATTAGGAGTTAAATGTGTTTTTACATGAAGATGCACCATTTAGGGTTTTTCTAGTTGAGGTCTGGTCTATCGATTTCATTTATTCTCATAAAAGAGAAAACAGAATATGAAGAAATTTTAAGGAAATTTCCATGTATGTATCAGTTTTTTCATTAGGCTCAAAAAGAAAAACACCAGTCATATTGTTCAGCACAAACATTAAAAAAATGACCAAACACGGAGCAAAGTGTTGATTGCTGAGCAGCATTTTAATTGAAAACACCACAGCATCGAGCCAAAACTAACCGTAAGCTACAGGTGGTGGCAACAGAAAGGTTACGCCTTTTCACATTTTTTTTTTTATTTTTAAACAAAACACGCTGAAATAGACACACCTGAGTAAAAAAATAGACAAAATACACACATGTAAAGGTAAATAAGATAAAAACAAGAGAAACTTGTGCCCCATTCCACACAGATCAGGGCAACATTCGAGTTTGTCCAATACATGCAAACATTTCCCTACAGAAATACAGAGTAAATAGATTATATACTGAGATTATCTCATACCAACCGAAAGTTTACTATTTTCTTACAACCACCTCCTTTATGATGAGGGTAAATGTGCATAATTGCGTAGAAATATCCGTTTGGTCCAGCTTTGAGACTGTATACAGTCAAAGTAAACACTTTAAAGAAATGGAAATGGAGAAACCATTAAAAGATTTCCCTTTCTTCCCAATAGCAAACACATACGAGGTAGAACAGGATTCCAAATTAGACAGAAGGCATCTTTGTTCTGGCTGGAATCGAATAAATTAGTCTTACAGGTAGGGATATGCATTTAAAGGAAAAGCTAGGGATAACATTATACCCTTTTGTCTGACCAATAACACTGTTAAAGTTCATTTTGTTGAGTTATTTTCTACCTCGTATGCTTACGTTTCACCAATCCTACTTAGTATTAGCCATCAGCCCAAGTGCAATTCGATTCAGATGCCGACTTCCTGTTACGCCCCCCAGGAAACGCTAAGAGTTCCCATTCAGATTTGGTTTAAAATCAAAAATAAAGGGCCAAAGCTTAAAAGCAACCACAGAAAATTTGCTTAAATTAGTTAGCAAACAGTTACTCTGTGCATGAAATGCGAGCCCACCTCAGACACAAACAAGAAAAAAGCTTAACCTGGTAGATTTAAAGCTGCAGTATGTAGCTTTTGGAAAAACTTTTTTATTTTTATTTACATATTTGTTAAAACTGTCACCATGTTGTTACAGTTTGGTATAAGACAGATAAACAGTGAAAAGATCTTACCTGTCCTACTATTGCCGTCTGTCCTCTCCTGACCAAAAGCAGCCAATCTGAGCCAGGAGGGTTTTAGGGTTGATAATCAACCTTATATATTTGGTAATGGACGTGAAACAACTTATCATAACAGGAAAACTGTTTATCAACTATCATTGGCAGCCATTTTAACCAGCTGGAGCTTTCACAACAGGTCATGCTAGCTAGTTTATAGAGGGTGATTGACGGCGCTAAATCTTGGCTCTGATTGGTTGTTTCTAGGAGCTCAGTTTCTGATTAGCTTATCATACCATGCTGTCATGACATAGTGGCATCTTCATCAAATATGTATAAGTAATTTTTTAAAATAAAAGTTACACTGCAGCTTTAAGTAGTGAATACGTTAATATTTTCTTTGAGTATTTACAACTAGAACATTAGCCAGTTCTTTTGAGTCTCAAATTAAATTTTAAACCATTTGAAATGTTTAAAATGAGTCAACTCACAATAAACAGACTCAAATTTAAGACCTATAGATTAAGTGTTCTTTAACAGCTGCTTGATTCGCATGTTCCTCGGGCCGGCTCGGTGATGGCCGGCTGACGTCGCCTGGCAGAATAGGGCGCATCATCGGGGGCTACATACGATACAGAAGAACCAACACGTTTTAAGTCTGTGGAGCTTATTAGCTGTTCGGCGGTTCCGGTCCGGTTCTGCAATCAGTGCACCTGGACTTCGTGCGGTAACATCTGGCAGCCGCTGTTGACGTGGGTGAGGACCTTCTGCTTTAACTGGGCCACCTGCTCTCTCAGTAGGCTGGCGGTGGAAGCCAGGTCGGTGTTCTGGGTTTTCAGCGTCTTCACCTTGTCCTCCAGCCGGGAGATCCGCTCCAGTTTGCGCCTGCGACATTTGGAGGCGGCGATCCGGTTTCTGAGCCGCTTCCGCTCGGCTTTGATCCGCTCCTGTGAGTCCATGTCGACGGGCGAGAGCGGCGGGCTCTCCCCGAAGCTCTGGACGTCCGGTACCGTCTGGGGCTCCTCCTTCGGCGGCTGGACCCGGGAGAGCTCCGACTGGAGCGGGGCTGCCACCAGGTGATGTGACGGAGGGGGCGGGAAGGGAACCGTGTCCGTGGAGTAATTGACAGTGGTTCCCAGCGGCCCGCTGCCGTAGCTGTTCAGGTTCGTGTACACCGGTAGGTCCGGCTGTACCGTCACTGGGGGGATGTTCGCCCCGAGGTCCAGGCCGCCGTTAGCCGGGGCGGTTCCGTTCAGCTGGTTCTGCTTGTGGAGGTCCTCCAGCGCCTTCACGAAGCCCTCGGCGAACTCCTGCTCGTCCGTCACCGTCTTCGGGTAGAGGAACTGGGAGCTGGTCGGCGTCGTGGTGACCAGTCCGTTGGACTGGATGATGAGCCGCTCCAGCTCAGGAGACGCCAGCTTGAGCAGACCCAGATCGGGGGAGTTGAGGAGGCTCTCGGCGTCGCGGAGATGCGGTTTGAGGTCTGCGTCGTCCACCAGGGTCAGATTGATGTCCTTCTTCATCATTATTTCCGAGTGTTCGCTGATAATGGTGGCCTGCTCGACACTTCTTCAGAGCGGTGTCCTGTCCATACCCTCAGAAATGAGCGGCGGTGTGAGATGTGTCGGCGGGTAAACGGCTGTCTGGTCCTCGCTGAGCCTGGAGCTGCCGTCCGTCAGCCTAATCATCTGAAGCAGAATGTTCGCTGCGCGCGCCGCCTCGAGCGCTTTTACACGGTTACGTTCCATTATGTCACGTCACAGCACGCGCATTGGACAAAAAAACCACCTTCTCCCCACAACGTTGTGTGACTACAGACAGAAACAGCCTGAACAGAGAAGGAAAAACGACAGAGGTCTCACTCTGGAGGTATTTTCAAAACCAGACAATACTTAGCGGATTTTTCGGGTGTGTTTTGTATGTTTTTTCACATCTTGTGTTACGATACAGAGTGCCTGTACAGCAGTATGCATAATTAATATTTTTCTTTCATTTTTAAAATAACCTCACATTAGAATCACAGGATAGAATCAGTGTTTTGGTAATTAAAAAGCAAAAGCAGAAAAGGTTTAGTTCGGTTTAGTGTCAGACAGTGTGAAAAGCAATATTTGTGCCTTTTTATAGTGTATGTCTACTGCATATTGTGGCTGTTTATACTACCATCTGAACTGGTTTGCTCAGTTCACATTATTTTGCCCTAAGGGCAACTAGCTGCTCAGTCAGTTACACACTAAAACATGCAAACTCATCAGTCTTCTTACAGGAAGAAGACTTTACTTTTATTGCTGTCTTACACCCCGTTTAATATTCATTGTTTATTTTCTTTACACACTGCAACCTATGTTGAATTTACTTTTAAACCTATTTTAAAACATCCCATAATTCTGAGATGTAGTTTTATAAAAAGGACATTAATCACAATATAAATTTAGTTTTAAAGCATCGCCTTCATAGTATTTTAACTTGACAAACTCAACCTGTAAACTGGCCACGCCCTGTTCTGTACCTGTTAACAGGTAAAACGTGTATATTCTTCCTCTGAACTTTCTTACATCAAACATAAGAACGGTTTAAAATGGCTAAAATTAAAGGTGACCTTCTTGCTGAGTTAATTTAAAGCCGCGTTTCCCTGGGTTTGCAGCGCACGGCCTTTTCTCCGGAGCTGCGCATGTGTTTGTCATAGACGATTTTTGATGATCGCCTCTGTTGCCATGGTAAAGGGGAATAAAGTACAAACAGTGAACA